CCCCACGTACGCGCTTCCATCCTCTCTCCGCCTCATTGTACGGCTTTCGATAGTCACCATCTTTTGCTGATCCAAAAAAGACGAGATGAGGTGAGCCCGGTGTTATCCGATGACAACGACTCGCTACTTCACCCAAACATCTTAGGAGTTCGTTCGAAATTGTAAAAACGTAGGGATTGCCCGGCTATATATATACGCTGCTTTTGATTGCAATAAAATTGCAAAGTATCTTCGTTTGCCCACCTTCAGAGATGACCCGAGTTCGTTACCTGGCTTCACCTCATGCTCAAATTAGAAGCAAGCAGCAGAATTTGCTGATTAGTCGTTACTTGCGATGTTTGTTCAGCATCGAGTAAAACGAGGGATATATTTGGAGATAAAAGCCGTGAACAAGAAGCAGTGTCCATAACTTAATCGTGTCTAGAGGTCCCGATCGAACATACCACTTAGCACCCAATCTTTGCTATCCTAACGTCATTTGCTTTTTGGGATCGATAGCGATATTATTGTTACTACGGGAAGATATGGGGCATTGAATATGAGCTTACTTTGGTCGGAGTTCCTTCGAGTATTTCGGAAGAAAGGACCAATATGGCACAGGGAAACTCTGGTCACCCATTCGAAATTATGAGTCTGTTTTAACCCTTTAACTTAGCCATCTGCTAGTACAGTGATAATAGCGCAACTGCCGGTCGCGTACAGCTATTAATCGGGCTGCTGTTCTTTTTGGTCTGAACAAGGAATCAGCGTGCAGGGACGTAGCCTTCCTTACAACGACGACTGGTCCAATTTTCCTCTTGTCCGTGTTGCATCATTTCCATACGCTCTCGGAATATACCGTACCCTATTTCTGCTTTTCTCTAATTCTCTCGTTCGTTTTCCCTGTAACTTTCTCGCCTGAGAGTAGCGCCTAAACGCCCCACTGCGCCTCGAGACAAATATCTTGACCCACGTCGCCAGCTTTCCGAAATGGACGAAGACTTAGACTGTACCTGAAGAGTCCCATATTAGTAGGAGAGCTTTAAGTAAGTTTCAAGCTCTTCGTGGTGGGCACGGCAACAATAGTGCCAATCTTTAGAGCCAGCCAGCAAACCAGCCGACTCAGTTTTTAATCTGGTAGCAGAACTTTTCTGCTTTAACGGCGTAAACAGGGTTTGCTTTTGCCTGCTTCGGTTGCCGTTTTCATCTGTCCACGGGCTTCATGCATCTTAATCTTTTATCGCGCCGTAGAGGTCCTTCAGTCGAAAGTAAAAAATGATTCTGTGTTCCGACGACGATCGCGTTGTGTCTTTACTCGATGCTGCTTTCTGTAAAAATACCTATTTTTCAACAAATGTGTGCCGACTATTTATTTATAGTGAATATCCTATTGGCAATATTGCAGTTCAGCGTAGCTTGGCCTATCTAGCTGTTTAGTACCATAACAGCATAGCCAGGTCTGGTTCTTCCCTTGGATGAAAGACGTCGAGGCTCGTTTGTTGAAAAACACCTACAGTTCTTAACAGCTCGGCTCCTTTCATCCTACTTTCCATCGTCATAGGCGTGTTCGGCTAATATAAAGACAGTGACTTCTTTGACAGAACTGATATGAGAAATATTTACTAGCTCAATAAGTATCATAATGGCCGCCGAAAGAGCCATTGTGAATGGCGGCGGATAATGGCGCCAAATAATTGTGTGTTAGGCTACTAAACACAGTATTCGATCGGGTTGCCTGTTGGGCTAATATCGGACTTATATAGAATGGTAATGGCGGCTGAGGGTAATGGAAAGCTGCAATGTAAGGCTAAATCAGGACGGCCCATGCGGGATTGAACCGGAGTAGTTTATGTGGCGGTACTGAGGAAATATGCTCGATGACGACTGTACGTAGGATTATCCCTCGTAACATAGCAATTTTCACAACAGTAGACTCAATAGATTGTGTCTGACTATTTTTCTGATTGAGCTGCTCCCTAAGTTTACTGTTTGTGCCGGGAATGTCTGGCGGGGCTCTATGGTCCCTATCAGACAATGGACTTGGGTGGTCGGCAGCCCGCCTACTTGCTTATTTCCTCACTTACACACAAAATCCCGCCTTCGATAAACGGTTTGTCTTCATTTGGATGAGAACCCAGTGACAACAAGTGCAACTCGCTTTCGCACAGGAATCACAGGGCCTAGAGTACTGGAGTACCTGTCTCGATTTAGTCGCGAAACTCGGGCCTTGAAGCTCGGCTTGCTTTCGGCCGCAGAAAGGTAGCTTCCCCAACGGGCCATTCGTGCCAAACGCTAGCAGGTTTGTTAGTCTGAGAAAAGCAGGGAAATCACGGCGTCAGTTCGGGCGCATCAGACGGCCTCCGAGAATCCTCTATATTTCGTGTTTTACGTCCGGCATCACCGTTAGGCATTTCACCAGACAATTGACTCTCTGCACAAGGCGACGTGTAGTTATGCCTGGATTCAAACCTACATCGCAACGAGTTCCTAGGGTTAGCAGGTAAATACGTTACCCACTAAGCTATCACAAAAAATTCTCAGAATAAACATACATACTCAAACATATAGCATACTATTAATAAAGAAAGGTCATAGAACCCCGCGATAGCTTAGCGGCTAACGTATTGGGCTGGTAATCTCAGGGACACGTTGCGTTCCAATCCGATCATGGAAATACTTCGTTTCATGGTGAGAGCCAGCCGTATGATGAAATGTATAGAGGCGATACTCGACGTAAAACTCGAAAAATAGAGGGAATAGTCATGCAGATGTTAATATGTAAACCACTGTTTAGCTGATTCGGGTGCGCAAAACTCACGGCGTCAAAATCACGGAAGAAAATGGGTTCTTTATAAGTTTTCTTTCATTGACTGTTCTTAAGTACCCGACTCTTTTTGCTCAACTCTTTCGTGCTATGCGGCAATCAAGGTGGCCAGTCACTAGAACGTAAAATAAGCGAGTAAATGGCATGGACACGTTCCTTGCGTTTATCCTAAGGACGAGTTCTTAACGAAGCTTCGGTGGTGTCGTTGCAGACCTCTAATTCACATGCAGGCAAAGCCCATAACGCCAAAGCCAAAAGCCGCTGGTGGTGGCTTGCGCTCTTCTAGGCTTTGAATTTGAAAGGTAAAATTGAGCTATTTCCTATACAGGTAACGGTTGTACTGATCGAAGTGTTCGCTTATAAGCTTGTAGAGGTCTTGGAGAAATCGGTTCATAATTAGAGGAGCTGTCTTTTATATTGGGTACCAACATATAAGTGCTTCAAGTTCTATACGCTATATGCAAGTATCCCAAGCGCATGATGTTTCATTCGTTGTGCGATGCATAAAAGGGGGTCGGAACCGACTGGAAGCACGTATAAGCAGCTTTTGAATTGCGTTACACCGGCATATGGGTACACCTTTCTACCAAAACACGTTCCTGTTGCATACAGGCTATTTTTGACAGCTTTCTGTTTTATTTTCTTTTTATCTAAGGTTCTACCTTTTCTTGTAAATCGCTTTTAATTACCCGTTCTCCTTTTAAATTTATTTGAAATAAAGTTGTTGCTGCAACTCCTTGTGTGTTATATGACAATTTTTTTAAATCTAGCAACCGGTACGTCAACAGCTGCTTCTATTTTCGTTCGATCCATTTTAAAGTTATGAAAAAATGTCAGTCGGTTGATATGTCCTTTGCGACATTCGCAAATCACCTGTGGTTTCATTTTCTCTCTGTTGCGATGACCGCCCTGTTTCTGATTTTCCATTTCGATTCTGATGGCAGTAGCCTCGTATGGCAGGGCTGTTTCTTTGTCCTTTGACGTTGCTGCTCCTGTGGCGCTCAACCGTCAATCGCTGCGTACCGCGCTACGGCCCAATACACCGCTAATACTTAAGCGGCAATCGTTTCAATGTCTGACAAACTGGCTGATCCTTTTCGAGCGATTCGCACATAGCCGTTGCGTACATTTTCCTGCAATTCCGCCCTCGACTCCAGGGCTGATCCAGCCCTTGAGTCATATTTCACCGCCACTTTTCTCACTCACTTTGTCAGTGCGTTCATACGTCTTAAAACAAAAGAAGTAGCAGGGGCACCCACATAAGCTAGCATTTTTCTCTTTCGACAACTGCTTTTGCTGCCGTTAGTGGCGGATGCTTCTGCTACTTCTGCTTTCGTTGTTGACCAATAGACCTTTCTTTTCCTACCCATTACGTAGCTCATTGATCCCATCGCTTTTTGTATCAGCTCAAGTGATGATGGAGACGCAATATCTTCTTTAGCAGAATGATACACTCAGCTCCCCCTTCTAACGTTTTAGAGAACCTACAGACGGGAAGGGAAAATGTAACGGGGGGATACGGTGGATAAAAAGATAAACATAAAAAAGAGAGGAAGAGGAAAGGAGAGAAACACAAGATTGGTACCACCGCCTAAGCAAGTGACTTTCCCCAGCTATACAGTTAAGAGGAAGGCTACCGGCCTGGTCGCATGGTTGACCAACCTGATCATACGTAATTATCATTTTTTCGGGAACATCTACGGCTTTGCAACTGCTATAGTTTCAAACGACCAATGGGAGAGAACCATAGAGGCTGCTGCGCTGGGAGAAACTAAAGAAAAGGTACACATCAGCGAGATTCCACTCCCCAGCCTGCTTCGTTCTCCGTCTACCCGATTCGGTTAGCTCGTTTAGTTATTCATTTAGGTCCAGCGTCTACTCAGGCTGTTCCGCATCTGAACACCTGCCACCCAGGGCTATAAGCGACGGGATGGCCAAAAACGATACAATAATACGAAAACTACGCCTTTCAGTTATTATTCCTTCTGTTAGAGCAGATTCATCATTACAGTCATCATCGCCATAGTGAACGGTGCGTTGTGTGACGAAAGAGTAATAGAAATGAAAATTTTGAATAATACTTCTAGAACGGTTAAGGTTCTCTCGGTGCAAATATCGAAAGGAAACGAAGTCGAAGGCGAGTCCTTGCGGAGTAAATTTTGAAAATGGAGGACTATGGTTATTTGAAGCTCGACTATTTATCAACTCATTAGAATGGACCGGTGATGTTGGACGTGGAAAATAAGGAATGATATGCAATCAACGTGTAGCAAAACATCGAATAGTAAAATAACTGCGAAGCCCTCTGACAGAGGTGACCATGTTAAATGGATTATATTCCTTATGTTTTTAATTCTATTGTATGTAATACTACATATGCCTCACAAGAACCATGGGTGCTAATATTTATTGTTTTTCTTTTGTTCATGCAGCATTTGTTGGCAGGTTACAGCTGGAAAGCCCAGTTGCACGTAGCTTGAGCATATTTAATTATGCATCAGCGTGTCTTATGAATTTATCAATGCTTTTACTGGCGCTTCATACATTAGCAGCAAGTCACACTACATCGTCAAAGCCACATGTCTTTTGGCACAGCCGCTGTTACGAACAACTGCGTACTGTTTACACTAGATATTAGTATGTATGTCCTTACTGAGGACAGGCCGTCAATCTTCAGTCTACGACTTGTTTCGACACTGCCTTATTGCTCAATGCCGTAACCGTACTGATTCGCAAATAAAATGGCCATTCAACTCGGTCTTTGACGAAACCGAGTTATGTAATGGAGAACCTGTGAACCAAACCAGCCCACAGCAACGGCATCTACGATCTCAAACAGCGTTTCTACTACCGGTAGCGCCGTAGCATCAGCCCCTTTGCTTCTGCGAGCGAATATTTCATTCCGCCTACAAGTAAGTTCCTTCTATCACCCTTTCGTCTTTCGAGAAACCCAGCTCTAGTCAGCCCAGTGCAGCAAAACGCCGGCTATAAAAGACTCCCGTTACTCGAAAATCCCCTTTGTCGCCCTCTAACACTATGTGAACGTCGCCCACTTGCCAGCCTACGCCAAGCTTCTGCTTATGTGCGTGCTTTGGTTGACCTCAGTTTCGCTCGTTCCCCGTTTTGGCCGCTACTAGTCTCCTTTGCCTTTTCGGTTTTTTGTTACATGAATGTATGGCCTGCACTTCGTTACCCTTTTCAGCTCTCCTCCATAGTCCGCCCCTGAATCAAACATAATGTCTTTCTTGACAAAAAAGTGCTACAGCTGCGTAAACATTAGCATCATCATTGTCATTGTAGGTATTCGTGGCTTTCAAGGCTGCTTATTCCTGATGGGTGAAAAAGCAAGTTGATTGGTAGGCACGCGTCGGCCTATACGCGGCAGGGCAAGAGGAGATCAGGTTAAATTAGGAGTCGGGCCGGACTCTTAGTTGCTCCGTGTATAACTCTGTTGAGTGCGCTGTACCCGTTATACGTTCGAGTGCTATACGTTAGGTGAGAGATTTAGGAGTAGCTCCGAGGGCCCGAAGCCGAGGGAAAGCTTGGCGATGTAGACAAGAGTCCACTTCCTCTCTCTCGCCTTGCAATCAGCAGCTTGTGGAGAGTGACGTTCGGGTGGTTGAGAAGTCTAATTAAAGTCCACCGGTAGTTGCACGGACAAGAAAGACCAATAGTCAACAGAGGAGCGGGAAGGTAAAGACATGTAACATTTGCATAGATACCGAGCAGAACACATAGCAGGGGAGGATACAGCTGACCGCGGTAGCAGCTGCGATAGCGGCAAGGGTTGGGACATGCAGCATCCACTTCCGCTCACCCTTTGACCTGTCCCCGGTACCTTTTCCCGCATCCTAATGTGGGAAGAGCAACTCGATCTCACAGAAGAGCGTATATTATAGTTCAACTTCCTTAATGATGCTGCTTTTGTTGAGGTAACCAATGATACATGGCTGAGTAACGATCCCTTGTCTTGAAGTCGATAGTGGATGTGCGTCCAGCGCGAAGTAAGAAGATGCTAGCCTGTTTCATGTTCCATTCTTAACTTTGCTAGTGGCTTGCTTGTAGGAGCATCGTTAGAAAGGACATAATTGTTAGAGAGCATGCAGAATCAGAGCGAACAAGAGTTACAAAACCAGCGGTATTTAGCTAAACGCACCAAAAGTGGAGGGGGTTTAAATGAAGAGAATGTTGGCTGTTGCTCCTTCAAAGCCTCACAAGATCCCGAGATACCCAACAAGAAGTGCGATAAGGAGGGACGGGGGGAAGGCAAGACAGGTGGCTGTTTGAGAAGGCCGACTGGCCATCACAAAGTGCCATTTTCAACGATCAAGCTGGCAAGGGATTCCAGTGGTCAACAGCCACAGACCCGAGTGATGTCGATTTGCTACCACTGTTACCCCGTTCGTCTGCCTCTTCAGCGGTTTTCGCGGTGATGGAGGGATCAGAGGGTACCCTTCTGTGTTCCTACTCTCTGAACTATTTTTTTTTGGTTGCATTGTTCCTTGTCACTGCCTCATCATAATAGGTGCATTCGGGGTTTGGTTCTGCTAGCTGCTTCTGCAGGCGCTACTTTTACTGCTCCTCTCGCCATTGCTGATAGCACTGAAAAAACAGTGAGTAGAAGCGAATATCGGCCGACAGTTACGCTTGGAATCTTCGCAGATCTGAAACCAAATTAAGAGATCCGTACCAGGTACAGTTCAGCGAATAGTGTAACCAGTGAAGCAGCTAGTGAATAATGCATTTCGAACTATGAAATTTTGCCACTTTGTAGTCATATGTCGTCGTCCTTATTTTCAACGTACACTTAATGTAATGTTAATACCCTATCGAGGTTCGAATAGCCATATCGGTAGTTGTTCTCGATAAAACGTCGTTTTTTTTTCTCGTGCCGACGGTTTCATTACTTGTTGCTAGTGTTATTGCGGGGATCGGGTGGTAGTGTATAGGTTACCTACGCAACCGCGGGTATTGGCATGATGATGTTGCTGTTAAGAAGATATTGTTGTCGGCGTATGATAAATTTTAAACGTAATTACAGACGGTCCTGGCTGATGAAGGAGGGAGCTTATCTGGATGCGGAACGGTGAAGGGGAAAGCGGCACTTGTATGGAACAAAATCAACGTGCCCTTATAATGATGTTCCTTTGTGCAAAAACAGGTGAAATGCTCAATAGTTAACGCGAGGTATTCACTACGTTCCCTGTAACGGAAGCATTTTAACTTAATAGGATACATCTAAAAGAAAATTGAACAATAAGAAGATAACAGAACCGAGCTGTAGAATGGACCATGTGCAAGGCGTAGAATCTTCAATTTCGATCAATTTTCAAGCTCTATGCAAATGTTTTTCTTAATCAGAAAACAGATAGACGTTGAAGAGGGCGTAAACAACGAGCTGGTTTATAGCTTTTAGATGGGAACATTCGCGCGGCTGCGGGCATTCTAGCAAATTGAAAAGAAACGTGTCTCGCTTGTGAAGTGTTGTTCTGAAGAGACATAGCGTTCGAACACTTCCCGTTTTCGCTTCTCACAACAGGCAAAATATTATGTGAGTATCTGAGCCGCTTTAGTCTTTAAGTTAGTATTAAGCCGCTTTAAATTAATAGCTACATTTACATTATTTACAAGCTAATTTAGTTAATCCCTAATCACTAGTAACTCTTTACTTGTAAATAGTCCATTTTAGTACAGATTGTACAGTTTTCTTACGATAAATCACTAGACGAGATAAAAGAATGGCCAATTGTGCCAACTTGTCCTGATCTCGGACTAACACAGTGGCTACAGGTACGTACATGAAGATACACAATGTTTCGCAGACGCAGCTGCGGCTTCCCTAAATGTAATGCGACATTTCACATCAGTCTAATTCAGGATTAGCCGTCCTGCTATGGAACCGGGCTATTCAGTTAGCACATCATAGCAGAATACGACACACTTCGGGTCCCTTATATTCTGTCCATTATCATAGCTTTAAACGGACCCGAGCCCCTACCATTGATTTTTCTAACAGGCGTTGGGAACGGATAAAAAAATGTCTTTAAAAACCGGAAAAGTGAAAATTACTTACTCTGTCTTTTCCTCGCTTTTCAAAAATGTGATGACGCTTCTGCCTTAGGGCCAGCCATAGCCTTTTACAGTAGAGGATTGGGCCAAGCCCCTTAGGAACAACCTGTTATTACCTAATTAACATGTTTGAAACGATTTAATAGGATGTTTAACGTGTGCTAATTATTTTCACTCAACCAAACCCGCTTTTTCGCTTAGTAGACATATTGTAGGTATCGATGGTTCTACTACAAATTGATAAAATGTTGTTGAGTTGTAATACACTAAAGATACACTTTTATTCTCAATCATAAACATACATTCACCCTTCAGTGATTTGTGTTATACATGCATATATATATATATATATTCATATATATATATATACATGTATATAGTCGAAGGCGTAGAGGAACGTTGCAACAGGTCTTTTCCATGCTTTCTCTGAATGCTAGTTTGCCCTATAAACAAGTCGCGTATGTTATCTATGCTTTTGCTGCCGTTGATCGTGAGACATCTGGGTATAGGTAATGCGCCCAGGAGCTCGCTTCATAAGACTTCGTTTCCCTCTGAAAAGTTTAACCCCATTCAAGAATTCCTTCTTTCTTGTGAAGATATCTATTCTTCTGTAATTGACAGGCCTCGGCTAGCCACTCGCCACTTTTGTTCATTCGTGTCCTGATGGCATAGAATCTTTTATGAACATTAAGAACTAACCGGTCCGGTTACTTTCTCTTGATTGACGTTCGTTTAAAGCCGCAACGCGGGTCGCCGCGAATCGACAGTATCGGTGTACAATGAACGAGAAAAACAATGTTCTAAGTCGGCGCCATTGAGCAGAATGCAATAGTGCCCGACGTCCAGGAAGCTCTCTGCGAGTTTGAAGCTTATGGGATATTTGTTAATAATAAAAGGATGTCCTAGTATGCAACGGCTTGAAGTAGTCATCGCGCAGAACAATCATATAACTAACAAAGTTTGGTTTATGCTCAGAAGGCCCAAGAAGGATGACAGGAGAGCAATTCGCCCTGCTTTTATAACGTAAATTATTGCGACTGGCTGCTTTTCAGCTTTTTTTTTTTTTTTTTTTTTATAAAGATAGCTTGTTAATTAGTTTTCTAGATCGTTGACTTTCCGCTGTACGTGAATTTAAACACTGAGGTTAAATAAATATTCCGAATTATATGCTTAATACAACCCTTGATGAAAATGTCCTCCGCGCGAAGCAAAGTGTGTCTACGCTTGTTTTCTTATAAATTAGGTGAATTGGTAAACATTAAAAAATTATGAAAATAAGTGTTAATTTGGACATTTTTTACTCTCACTAGCCAAAATTCTTGGAATTGTCTTATGATTGTAGAATTGTAGTACTGCAACCTCTGAACCCCGCAGTAAGTGCTGGATTGTTGCCGAGCTTTTTGTGACGGTTCAGGAAGTTCGTTAGCCTTAACTGGCTCTGAAAAAGGCGCCCAATCTCCTGTAAGAGATTTTGTTTAGAGAGTTTTTTCAAGAGTTTATTAACATAGAACCAGTTGTTTACCTTTTGACAACTTAATAGTAATAATCATAACACGTACTTAAAATTGCCAAAACGCACCATTGTTTCACGAAATGAATGCTATCCGACCGCTAACGGACAGTTTTGATGTTTTATCAGAAGGTAAATGATAGGTCGAATAGGTGGGCTAAGCTTATTTGAATAACAAAAATAGAGGAGAAGTAAAATGCAGTTCGCAATTCATCAGTAACTTTAGATGATAACTGTGTATACGACCCGGCTGTCTTTGTATATTCCCTTTTTAGTACTAATTTTGAAGTTCGTTTCCACATTCCTTCCATTCCGGCAAAAACAGCTGAGCCATTATTTAAAAGCATCGTTTATTGCATTGCTATATACGCTTTAGCTGGGGGAGGCATAAACAGCCATGGATTAGGTACTATCCAACCAAAGTATTTAACTAAATCATAGCATCGATCTGTACACCCAATACGCCACAATAATCCAAGCCAATAAGATATATCAAATTAAAAAATAATTCGAGTAGAAGAAAAATCATAGAAAAAAGACAACGACAACCGTGTTCTCCTTTTGTTCATGTTCTTGTGATGGGTCTCCTGGCCGCCCTCCTACGCGCCGACGTACGTGTGGCCGCTTGCTGCCCTCATCTATATTTCCCTCCGTGGAACGTTATTGTTCCCATCGCCTTTGTGTATGCAAGCCTATTTGCAAACTGTCTGCCTTGTAAGTGGGTCGCAATCTACAAGGCCGTTTGGAGAATTCGACCGACCGACCGACCGACCGACCGAGAGACAGACGGAGAGCGAGAGGGCAAGATGAAAACGACGGCACTGTTGCATACGAAAGTGGAGTTCGAGGTAAGTGATGATTACGTTTCGAAAGCCAGTAGAATTCTGCGCAGCGGCAATGACATACCCGCTTTTAGAAAGCTTTTTGAAATTCCGTTTCACGACGACCAGCAGCAGCTGCAGTAGCAAAAATCGTAGTGGCAGAAATAGTTCCACTAGCTGGGCGAACCTTTCTACAGCAGTTTCGTGTCCTACGCAAACTCTCCCGGTGCGCTGCGACGTTTCATATGGCGCCAGATGCCTCAGGCTTTTGCGCCTTCCCAGGTAGGTAGACCAAAACCAAAGCAACACCGCTGCCACTTTGCCCATCGGCTCACGTGTGCGGACGATTCCGATGAAACGTAGCGAAAGTCGTTTCAGCTTAAGTGAGCCCGTAACGGCTACCCGCAACATCAGCCTCCGTCATGACGTCATTGCTGCCTGTACAGCGTCAGCGCAATGAATGTTTTATATCTTCAGTTTCCCATTGTTCCTGAAGAAGATCATTATCGAAAAAGCTCCGTCTGGTTGCTATTGCCTGCGATCCCGACTGGTGCCGGTTATCTGCTACCGTCGTATCTATCTGAAAATTATGCTGACGGAGCAGCTTTTGGAACGGTTTTTTTTTATCAAATTGCAAAGTGTGACGTATTCGAAAATGTGTATCCGAATATTGGTGCACATATAACGGATGGAAATACATAGATACGTATTTTCCGTCCAGTACTAGCAGCCGACTACTTGTTCCAAACGATTGAAGAGCCATTATGGGACGTCTTTTATTCGAATAAAGGCTACCGCACCAGTGATAGGGTTTGGGAAGGACTATCGTCACCTCATTGATTTTAGCTATTTGTTTACCGGCAATAAGTAGCGTTGCAGTATGACAGCTAGCGATAGCTGAGTGATCCTGCTTTATAAGTGTTCGTTAAAGATAACGAGCAGATTCTGCGAGTGGGGCATTGATCGTGTCATATATTTGTGTGCTCGTTGTGGCACGATAAGGTTTCATCGATCTTTCAAGACATTCACAAACGTTTTATTTATCTGATCGTTTGTTGATTCGCAGTTTTAAAGTATCTGTAAGCAAATCGTAGGCCGTTATAGGTTAGTTAATGAGCTAGTGTAGTACTGCTTGTGTGATCCACTTTTTAAAACAAAAACACGAAGTAAAATTAATTGTCGATATTCTTTATATAAATTATTGAATTTATCCGCTCACACTATATCAGATACTGATACATGTGTTATAGATGTAATGCTATCTAGGGGTAACATTTGGGGTGTGATGATAACTAAGGTGGCAAAAATGACTTCTTAAAAGCATTGTTAGGCATATTCTACCGCCGTATTCTCAAGCTTCTGATGTCAATTTTTGCGGATCAGGGCTATATGAAATAAAGGCAGGCACACGCAACATCATCATTCTTTCGCTATGCATGCTTCCCATTAATAAATTATATATAAGTGTTGTTTTTAGTAATATTTAACATTTAGCAACGTTATAATTCTACTGTAGAGTAAATTGGAATTATCTAACGGGTTCTTTGGCAATGAATCTACTACTAAGCCAGGAACTGTGTACGGTGCTCGAGACAAAACGTATCCGCATAAAAACTGAATAAACAAAAATAAAAATGATTTGTCTTTCTGAACATCGACCAAGAAAATCCAATATTTGAGCTTAGCAGGCACACTATGCAAAAGCATATGGGTTTTTGGGCCTATTAACGACTTTGCGTCATTGACTTTGTCACCTTCTATTATCGCAACGTATATTTAATCACGAAAAGTGCATAGAGGAATGATTAGATCAAGCAGTAAATATTTGTTGCGCATTTACGTAGTTGGATAACACGTGGTCGCCTCAAAGGGATCACCCCCCCCCCCCCCGACCCGCCCCCAATAGAAAACTCAAAAGCACCTAACGGATATCCTTTCATATGCTCTACTGTGTGATTTAGGTCCAGTGTAAGATGACCGAGTATTTTAGGTTAAAAAGATTTGAATTTAGAAGTGATGAGTCTCCTTCGACGAAACAGAAAATAGGATTGCAAAAAAAGAAAGACCTAACTTTTACAGATTGCAAAAATCTCTCCACAATGGTTTAGTTTTAGACCTGTTAACCCAATTAATCTACTGGATAATAATAGGGATCTATTCTATTATTTTAAGAAGGCAGATAGTGCCATTATTATTACTTCTATTAGAAAATATAAAACTATGTCGTTTTGCCATGTGTTTATAGACCATAAATTCCTCTACGCGATTAAGCTTCGTGCAGCTTATAAAATGCGTCCTTTTAAGAAATCGTATTTAGACTGGTTGGATTCGGTATAAAGATACCGAAAGAAGTAACCAACATAAACACAAGCGACGCTTGCGTGAGTAGCCATGGGTTAGCACGACTTAGTAGGACATGTAGGCCCGATAAACTATAGATTTAGTAAGGCTAGTAAGCAGGTCGAAGTCACGCTTCTAGATGCCCTGATTCAGTAATATGGGCTGGGAAAGGTGCGGGAGACGAAAGACGTATGGGCCACTTTTATCGTAACGTTGCCGATGTATCTTAACGTGCATGAAAAGCCCACTGAATTTTGTATGCGATATAGAGGCTGAAATCGATACAGGCAGAACCGCTGGACCCTTACAAAAACCAGATCATGTCAACAGACATTCTAAACGTGTGTTCCTTTTGCCAAACAGGATGATAAAGCTGACACATAAATCACTTTACTCTTTTTTATTTATACGTTGGATGCTTCTGCTAAAATATATGTACTAGATGTTAACACTTCATGTGTACAAGCTTGGATAATTATAGCGAAGGGGGTGGAAACCTCAGTGACAACCCAGTTTTACAGGCCACTAGTCATACAAATTGGACGAACTCCTGTTTCATTTGCTAACGCCTTGCTGCCGACTGCTCCTGGCTATCTTATCTTTTGATTGAATCTCTTATCCCTTATTGGCTACGTTTACTAATCGATTAACTGACGCCTTATCCGTTTAAATTGACGAGGAACATTTCGAACTTAAACATCTATGAAATTAAACCGTACAAAAACCAACGAAACTTGTCATCGTTTTAGATTTTTCCGGCGACTGAAAAATGCTACGATGATTTTTGTAATTATCCTACATCTTTATTATCCACAAAACACAATAAAAGATCCCGATATGGATAGGTGTACTTACGATGACCGATGGCAAACGTAGAAAGATTCTACTGTACTCTTGGTAATTTCTAGTTGACTGTTTTGTTCATAAGCTTCGTATTCGTGCTGCACGGCCGTGCAGAAAGTCTTAATTTATAGGAGTGCTGCGACGCTCAAACTCAATACTCATTCACGAGAACAGGTCCTTCAAAATTTGTTGGTTTTTTCTTTTGTATTTCGATGTAGATATTTATGTCGGCAAACACAAAACCGTTCTTGAACATACCAAAACAATTATTCGTTAGGTACGGCAGCTACTTAATGAAATTAATAATCTAATTTGGGTGAATGAATTCATGCAATTCTGATCAGCGCTTTCAATCTGAGGCTAGTTCTTCAAAGGTTAGGCGCCGATCTTCCCTTCGAACAATGTCGTACTGTCTAAAACTCCAAATATTTATTAGTAACTCGGAATGTGACACGTTATTTCCGCTCTACTGCAGTAGAATTAAGAGCAGGAAACGGTAAACTTCATGCCTCATTTTACTTGTCTACGGACACGTACTTGCTTATCTTCAATGCAAGTTATCATCTTAGATACTACGCTCTAATAAGCTATAAAGGATCGGCCTCGCTTTTCACAAAAAAGAAGCTCTACATACGTAATTAAAAAAAAAAGTGCACTTATTTACTTTTATCACAGCTTCATAAATGCAACGACCATAACGTTGTTAACCAAACAATGATTGCTGCGGTAATATTGTACATCACAGATGCAGCTATTAGTGATCATAGACGGCATGTGTCGCCGTTCAATGTAACTTTCGACGATGTGAAGATTAATGAGATGGTGCGCTTAACAATCACTGCCAATTTTGCAACGATTTTGTATACAGTAGTATATCTTCTCAAAACGTAAGGTCTGTTAAGGGATGGCCCGTCGTCCTTGTAGACTCGGCGTTGCGCATACGACGTAGAGGCGGACCGAGCAACTGGAACAGAATACATGTACACAGTCTTCTTTCCTACAATGCTGTCGACCAACAGCCTTTAATCACCCCACGCTAGCTCTCGTTAACTTGATTGGGTGTGCGAGCTGTGACACTGGGCAGAATTGCAACGGCTGCTGCTGCTGCTGCTGCTGCTGCTGTAGGGACGGTATTTTTGACCTCTGCACAAACACAAGCCCCTCGTAGACGATAAACGTGGGCACGAGCCTAACAGAGCTATGCGACATCGAAGGACACTGAACAACACTTTAGGCAGAGGCAAAGAGACAAAGACGAGCGACAAAAAAACAGAAAATTTTGAGAGTTCCTTTACAGAAGCAAAATGCACACCTTGCGGTCGTAGCTCCGCCTGCCCTCAAGCCGTGTTATGGGTGATCCACAAATAGTGCCTTCAAGGAAACATGAAGCGTCCTTGCATGACTCATAACAACGAAAGATTAGAGACGACAAATAGGCAGCAACGATTGGCAGCTGATCGTCCTAAATTATTCTCATTTGTTTGCTCTTAGAATCCGGGTTCCGCTTGGTGATCGAGTGGTGTGAGTATCGTAGCAGTGCATCAGAAGCGGATGTACAGGCAAGCATTACTAACGGAAATTAAGTCGCTATTAGGAGCTTTAGTTGTTTGGAAGCGTTCGTACGCCGTTGGATCGGCGATACTTGTGTATTTGCGCGCGGCACCTGCTGAGCTTCTAAGGGCAATAAAAAGCGTGTGACAGAACGAAGACTTCAAGCTGGAAGCTCAAGCAGCTTGCTGTGCACGTTCGTTATGTACACTACTACGTTTTATTTCGACAACAGATTGGATCGAACTAGTGGTAAATGTTCTTAAACAGATTCAGACCCCAAAAACACGC